AGGAAATTTGGAGGACAGCTACCTAGCCTATCAATTGGAAGAGATCAATATGTATTCCCATTCTAAAGAAAGGTGATACAACAGAAATTGGAAATCGTTGAAAAATAGCATTAATATCATGTACAAGTAATATTTTACTGAACAAAGTTCAAAAAATGGTTTCAGCAGTGCATTGACAGCTGAATTCAGAAGAGAATGTGGAAATAGATCATTGCTGACATTCAAATAGTTCTTGACTAAAAGCGGAGAACTTCAGAAAGATGCTACTATTGGTTTATTGACTAAGCAAAGGCATTTCACTGTGTGGATCATAACAAACTATGGATAACATTGTTGCAAAATAGGTATTCCAGAGCACTTCATTGTGTTCATGAGGAATTTATACATAGACCAAGGTGGTTGCTTGAACAGAACAAAGGGATATTGAATGATTTAAAATAAGGGTGTGCACTAGTGTTGTATCTTTTCACCATACTTATTCAGTCTGTATGCTGAGCAAATAACCCAAGAAGCTGAATGATATGAAGAAGAATGTGGCATCTGGACTAAAGGAAGTCTTATTAACAATCTGAAATATGCAGATGACATAACCTTGCTTGCTGGAAGCAAAGAGGACTTAAAATACTTAAACTGATGAAGATCATTGACTACAGCCTTCAGTATGGATTTCACCTCAGTGTAAAGAAAACAAAAATCCTCACACCTGGACCCATAAATAGCATCATGATAAATGAAGAAAATATTGAAGTTGTCAAATACTTTATTTTGCTTGAATCCACAGTCAACACGCATGGAAGCAGCAGTCAAGAAATCAAATGACATAGTATTGCACTAGGCAAATCTGCACAAGTGTTAAAAGATCTAAGATGTCACTTTGAGGACTAAGGTGCACCTGACCCAAATCATAGTATTTTCAGTTACCTTATATGTATTTGAAAGTTAGACAGTGAATGTGGAAGACAATAGAAGAATCGATGTGTTTGAATTATGGTGTTTGTGAAGAATATTGAAAGTATCCTGGACTGCCAGAAGAACAAGGAAATCTGTGTTGAAAGAAGTACAGCCAGACTGCTCTTTAGAAATGAGTATAGCAAGACTCCATCTCTCATACTTTGGACATGTTAGCAAGAGGGCCCCGTCCCTGGAGAAGGACATCATGCTTGGTAAAGTAGAGGGTCAGCACAAAAGAGGAAGACCTTTAACGAGATGGACTGACACAGTGGCAGCAACAAAGGGCTCAAACATAGCAACAGTTGTGAAGATGGCTCAGGATCCACCAGTGTTTCATCCTGTTGTACATAGAGTCACTATGAATCAGAATGGACCGGATGGCACCTAACAGCAGCAGCAGCAGCAGCAATGGTTGGAAATAAAAAGAATAATACTTCTGAGAATTATATGAAATTTTTATTTCATTGTTCATAAATAAAGTTTTATTGAACTATAGCCATCTCATTCGTTTATGGGTTGTCTATAACTGCTTTCTTGCTACAGTGGCAGAGTTGAACAGTTGATACAAAGAATCCATAAAGCTCAAAAGCCTAAGATATTATCCAGTCCTTATAGACACTTTAATGGAGCTCTGTTAGCGAAGTGGTTACAAGTCGGGTTGCTAACCTCAAGGTCACCAGTTCGAAACTACCAGCTGTTCCGTTGGAGAAAGATGAGGCTTTCTGCTCCTGTAAAGATTTACAGCCTTGGCAACAAATCCTTATAGCAAGAAACATTCCCACCCACTCCACACACAGAGTAGACAGAGAGGGGCAACTTGGACATTGGATACCCAAATGGGGAGGGATGGACTACAAAGGCAAGAAGTAACTGGCTTACAAGCTTTCAAGAGGGAACCTAGAGCTTGGGGGCATGGAGGAAGGCAGAATCACCAGTGAGTACTATCCAGTTTGTCTAGGTGGAGCTGATTAAATGAAATATTGATGGGTTACTCGTGATACTGTAGTGAATAATGGTTATCAAGACGGATTCTGAGTATTGGAAATGCAAGGGTAGATGTTTTGTAGCAAGGAAGAGAGCGATTATTTCTCCAGTCTAGGAACGGAGGTCTCTGGGACCACCAACGGAGCCGAGATCAGGACCCCACCCAGAGAACCGGGGATGCCTGAGATGGAGACAGAGATGATGACATGGAGGGATGAAGCGGTTGGGGCCTTTGGATCCAGTGAGGGAAAGGGACTGTGGGCCAAAGACTGAGGGGTGAGGGGGGAGTGTAGAGCACGGGCTTCTAGAATATGCCCTTTGGTCTGAAGACAATGCGTGGAGGGGATTGGAACCATGGCAATGTAATGATATACGATGGAATGAATATGGAACTGAGGTTCTCTCATGTAAACTATCATATAATTCACAATAAAACATTAAAAAAAAAAAAAAGATTTACAGCCTCAGAAACCCTATATGGGGTCACTATGAGTCAGAACCAAGTCCATAATCACCACCAGCATAGACAACTTGAACTCCTGTTCTAGTACATGTAAATCCTGTGTGGATTAAGTGGAGCTAATGTGTTACTCAGCCCACTGATTTTTATTATTTAAATGATAATTTCAGTTAGATAGGAAGCATCTTAAAATTAGAAG